CTTTAAGATATGTCACTCAAGTTACAATCTTGGAGTATGACTCTAAGAATTGTTTTGGAACGAAGTATGACTCATCTTCCTGATCTAACCATTTCAACAATTCATGACTCCTCTTCTTAGTCATAAGAATGCACTAAGATGACCTTTAGAGGACTAATTGTGATATGATTTCTAAATCATTAAGATGATCACAAACATGATACTAAAGTACTCTCCCATCTTTTCAGATTTGAGAAACTTTTATCTTTCTGCCTAATTTGATTCTTCCCATTCGTTCTGCCATACATTGAGACTTTTCCAATGTTTCAGAATTATACTTAAACTTGTAAGTATAACCATATTTACTAAACTTTAGTAAATCAAATAGTCTTAACGAGCTTTGTGGTGGACATGACCAGTGCACAAGAATGTGTACTCGATCCCTTTAGTCCTTCATTTGACTCACACATCCATGTGAACAAGTAATTAGTCTTGATTTTCCAATGCTTGAAAGTTCTCATTCATCATACTATTCAACTTGCATGATTCCAAGTTTCGGTCCAATTGAAACTTGGGGATGAGGAACTTTCCTGATTTGGTAAATTTAGACACTACCACAAATGAAAGAATCAAATCCATTTCCAATATTGCTGTCAGTGGAATCATATAAGCAACAATTTTCCACAAATGCCATTGTAAGGATACTTCAAATAAATAAAATTAAACAATTTTCTTTTATTTTAAAACTTTGCGGAAAAACTTATCCTTACAATCCACATGGAAAATTGTTGTTATCTATTCCTTAGCAATATATCATAACTTCTTAAGCAACTGCTCAAAATTCTGATGCGATCGAAATCCACCTTCGCGATCAGAATCAGCATATACTTCCTTTAAGATTTCTCTCTATTCTTTGATTCTTAAAACATCAACATGTGACCCAGTCACATCATGTAATGAGGATCTCAGAATAGAACTTAACAGAGTTAGATAATGGGCTCTACCTGATGTAGAGTCAAACTTATTGACTTTAACATCCTTAGGTAAATTTGGCAGCTTTGCAATCAACGCCCCTTCCTTTGGCAAAATAAACATATGGACCCTTTGGTAATGGGACTATCTCAGACTTAGCCTTTCTCTTTACCATTTGGTCAACCGGGTTGACTATGGCCAATCCCTTTCCATTGGGAAGAGAATGCTTTTTCTGGATTTCCAGTGTCACCATTGTCACTGTCCATAAAGTTTTTGGGAAGTTGATCTTCTAATCAAATTTGCTTTACTATCGTTCCAAATCATTGCTGATTCAGCAGCACCAAGCAAATAGATATGATCATTAAGGTTCATGTCATAGTCTGTTTCATAGTAGTCCCAAAGGAACTCACTATGTGACTTAGAAAGTGATTGAACATCCAACTTTCTCAAGACTTTGACACCCAACTCTCCCGGCTTGTCAATATGTGACTTCATCTCTAAGATGTGATCACACATAGACCTTGCTTGCCATTAGGGCTTGAGTGACCTTGAACTTGTGGGTTAGGGAGAATAATTGGAGGAGGTGGAGGAAGAGAAGTATGACTTCCATGAGCCAAACTCGGGAAGTCATATTCATTAGGAAATTGGTTTGGGAAGATCATTGTTGTCTAAACCAGACATCAACAATGGGAGAAATTCACGTAAAGTTGATTTAAGTCCTTAATATAACACCCAATATGATATATTAAGGCTAGGACCCAACAAACTATTTTATAACTTGGAAGAGGGATGCCGTAATCCAAGCTATAAAATATTTGAAGGTAGGTGAATGACGATTCACCAATTTCCACCAAGATAAACGAAATGTATTATTAGGTTTTAATTGGTTTTGAAACTCCTAGATTCTTTTGAGATTCATTGAACTTTTCAATGGCATGTTTCAATCTCGAGTGTGCCCTTCAGGTTTTGTGACTGGGATGCCGAGGATCACAAAACAAGGTGTGAAGTAACCATGCAAATATACTTGGTACCCTTAATATTTACCCCTCAATCGATGTGCCGGTTAACCACACACGCTCCAACGATACTATGATAAACATTAAGTTACCCTTTGCCTACCTTGTTAAGTCCAGGTTAGTGTGCCGGTTAACCACACACGCTCCACTAACAGCTTAAACAAAGTGCAAAGTGTAATTTCATGGATTAGCACCTTATTCACATTTTCCTAAGTAACTAAGATTGGGAATTTATAAGTGTTTAGTTACTTAGTATTTATCATTATACTTATAATGAAGGGAGAATTATAGTCCTTGTCCTACCTGTTCGACTAACGACCCTCCACCGGTCAAGGAAGCGGCTTCGTGAATGAGGCCTACTAATGGTGACTTGCTCTTATACATATAATATATTAAACTTTTAATATTATAATAGTATAAGGGTGTATTTTAGACATTTAAAATACTTGGTGGTTTAATCTATTAATTAAACTAGACTTTTAATTTAATTAAACTCAAACCATATATTTATGGATTAATAATACTCTTTTAATTAAACGCTTTAATTAACTATTAATAAAGTCCATAAGAGTTAATTTGAACTATTCAACAAAACATCATAATTCCAATTATTAAACTCAAAATTAAAACCATTTAATTAATTGTTTAAGTTATGAACCCAAGAGTTTTAGAATTCAATTCTTTTTTTCATAAAAAACTTTTCTCAAATTCCAAAACTTGAGTGCAAGTTTTGTAATTCTTGAAAAGCTTTGGATTCCATAACTTATGGAATTAATGGTGTTTTATGATGAAACTTTCCATGTTCCATAACTTAAGAACAAGTTATGGAATTCTTTAAAACATTAACACCAAATTTTGTAACTCCATAAAAACTTTGAATCAAATTTTTTTTAAAAAAAACTTTCATATCCATAACTTATGGAAGTTTCAAAAACCCTTAAGATCACAACTTTAAAAAAACTTTTGAGCTCCAAAATTTTATGACAAAATATGTAACTCCTTAAAACATTTAGATCAAACTTTTAAAACTAATAAAATAATCATATCATTTTATCTTTTACTAAATTTGACCTAATTCAACTCATATAACAAATGATTCAAATTTTACAAATAATTCGTTTTTCACAAAACAAGTAATTATCTTAAAATTTGACAAACGTCATGTTTTTTTTTCCTTTTTTTTAACTTGAAAATAAAACATTTGCATCAATATAACAGAAAACAACCATGGCTCTGATACCACTGTTGGGTTTTGAGCATTCTAACACTCCTATGGTGTACATGCAACCCTATAAACCTTGGATCTATGTTTTCTCTATTATACATGCAAATATTAACTATTCCAAGGTTTCATCCTAACTAGCATATTATGAAGCACCTATACTACAAAGTTCTAGTTAGATGACATACCTTTTGATGTAGCTTGATGTCTTCAAGCTTTAAGAGCTTAGCCCCAATAGTGTGGAAGCCTCAAATGGAATCACAAATCACCAAAACACCTTGGAAGAACTTGAGAGAATATGTATGCACACTAAAATCAGCCCACTCTTATTTTCACACACTTGTGCCAATTTTGTGAGCCAATGACCCCTTTATATATTATGGAGGATTAGGGTTACATCCATGTAAACCCTAATACTTCATGACCTTTCATTTACATAGGATCCATGGGTTAAAAGCTTCATGGACCATCCATGAAAGCTTAGCCCAACCTAAATGAACTTGGCCCATTCCATATATATAAGAGTCCATATTTAATTAGTTCTTTTTTATCACTTAATTAATTCTAAATTAATTCTTGATCAATACTAATTAAATAATATGATTCCATATTAATATATTAGAACTTATAATATATTAATATAAATCATAAATATATTATTCTCAAAAGACTATCCATATAAATTGTGCCGGTGAAGTGCAACCCAAATGGACCATGCCGGGTCGGGTCAAGTACATACCAAATATAGTTATGGATTTAGACATTAATCCAACACAACCATCTTTCCTAATGTTGCTCGTATTCCAGATGCAACGTTAAGACATGTTGATCCACAAAATCCACTACTAGTTCAATATTTGGCATTAATTTATTCTATTGTTTCGATTGGTGTTCTTCCATCGAAAGGGGCCGAGGGTTCTTCAAAAGATGCTAAGATACCGAAGAAGAAGAAGAAGCAGACTGAGAAACCACCAACTGTGGTGGAGGAGGTTTATAAAAAAAATTATTCCTTCAAAAACTGGTATTCTCAAGCGTACCAAGAAACCAGCCAAGAGGCCTCATCGTTCTCCAGTCATGCCATCTATCCAAGACTCGGAAATTGAAACAACTGAGCAAGCACAGGTTGATTATTCATATACTCATTCTTCTCAGAAGGGTATCAAGAATATGAGAAAGCCTCAATTCAATAGAAAAGGTGTGTTGTTTAGAAAAGTTCTTGTTTTTGTTTCTCCAGCCTCGAAGAAACGACAAGCATTCGATATGGCTAAGAATGTGCAACAAAAGAAAAGAAAGCATCAAGATCCACTCGATCAAGTCACTGTCAAAACTGGAATGACAATGATAGTGGGGCTAATCGACATGATGATTCTTGGCTTGGGTCACCTCGAAGGGGTTCTCCTCTCAAGTCAAATTTCGAGGAGACAGTAGATCCTGGTGTCACTGTAAACGTATCTAATACGGATACAATCACAAATATGAATGATCAAACATCTACATCCAACCCTGAGAAGACTAAGGTCATACCACCCGAGGTTTCGCATACTGAGTCCTATACGGAGGAGGTTCGAACTCCATCCATTCCTGTGAACTTATCTGATAAGGACACAAATGTCAACATGAGTGAAGGAATGCAGAACAAAGAAGCCCATGTTACTTCTACTCTTGAAACATTAACCATTCCCACTTAAACCATATTCTCATCTAGCCTGGAAACTCCTACATTCGAAACATTCACTTCCTTACCACCACTTTCATCACCCATCCCAACTTCACTTCCAGTTTCAACCCTTTCACCAACATACTCCACGATTATGCATGAACCAATAACTACCCTTTTCTCCTATCAATCTACTGAAGCTGAGAGAGTAGTTCAAGAATACGAACCAAATGATGATGAGATCATGGTGTCTTTTTCTGATTTGCAATTCAACCTAGAGGAGGATAATGTACCTGATAAAATGATCATGTCAGGTAAAAAATTTAAAATCCTCAACAACAAAATCAATTCTCTTATTCAAATTCAAAAAGATAATGTGGGAAGGAATTTCATTACTGGGGTAAAGATGAGGTACTTGTTAAAGTCTTAGGAGAATTGTTTTAGAAGCTTGGTTGAAAGCCTTGAACATAAACAAGTCGAAAGGTTGGTTGTTCACTCCAAAAGCTTTGATTACAAAATTCAGAAGCTTCGTGATGTTGCCAAGGAACGTCATGATGTTTTTGTTGAACAAGTGAAGAACATGAAAGAGTTTTTGGATCTTAAGGTGGTGGAACTCAAGTCGGAGATGGCTAAAAAGGTTGAAAAGGTGGAGAAAAATTATGTTGTGTTATATACCAAACTTGATGTTATTGCTGATGCTATCACAAAGTTGGTCAATTTTAATACTGACTATTCAACCAAGCTTGAAAAAAAATCGGAGAAGGATTCCTAGGTGTACGCGAAGCTGGAAGAATTTTTATCCAGTATTAAGGAATCAAGTTTGAAAGTTGATCTTTCGAATCAATCCTCTGCTTCTCAAGAATCAATTTCTCAGTTGATTTCGACCATTGAGACTAATATCAAAGCAGAGCTTGCTCCCATCCTTGAGTTGGTTCTTCGATTACCAACGAATGCTCCACCTGCTAGGCAAGTGTCACAAGGGGGATATAAAGGATGTGGAGGTGTTGGGTCTTCAAAGGATTCCGAGAAAGGAGCTATTGTTGGAAAAGTGATTTTGACTCAAATATCGACTTAACTTCCTATTTCATTAACCGCAACTTTAACAACAAAAACAACAACAACAAGACCAATAACAAAATGGATCATATTAAACGAAGGATATGGAGGTTCAAGTTTGAGTTCTGTGCCACCATCTTCGAAAGACGATCAAGGTGATAAAGGGAAAGCTATCTCAATGGTGGTTCTTTCTAAAGAAGAGAAAAAGAAACAACAAGCTCTGGAAATCGAAAAACAAAGGCAAATCAACAGCATAATGAGGCAAAGACAAAATGACCCACCTGGCTTGAATAAGGGTGATCCCAACAAGCAGTGGTGTTACGAAATGATAGAGGACATTGTTTCGATTGGGCTAAAAGATTATTTTTGCAAAGTGCCTAAGAAGGGCTATGATGTTGAGAACACTGATTTCAATCAGCTTGACTTCCCAATAAACCACATGTTGTTCACATCTTCCCATTTCAAGATCATTGAAAACATCAAAGATAAGTAATAGTTCAAAAGGATGAAGATACGTTTTCATGCAGTATTGGGGAAAAAAGAAGAAGAAGTTTGGTCATCAGTAAAGATTATGAAGGCGATGAAAATCATGCAAGAAAATTTGTTTGAAGGCATTCTACTAAACTTTCGCTATGTGTTTCTTAGAGCGAACAATGTAGTTTGTGAATTTTCGATTGCTGATTTCCCATTAGTGAACTTAGATGACTTGGTCACTATGAAAATGATTTTAAGTAAGGTGGATGTTTCAAAGCTGACATGTAACATCCCGACTTCCAGGTATGAGAATTACTATTTTAAGTATGTTTTTCCATTGGAATGCGGTGTGGTGGAAGCCTCACCACGCTGTGTTGAAGGACTTTTGCGCCGCGTATTTTTATGGACAGCGTGTTGGTGAAGGGAAACTTGGCGTGTTGGCGGCTGGATGAGAAACCCTAAATTTTAGGGTTTTACCCCTTATATAATCCCCTTAAGTCCTTAGGGCTCATCTTTTATCAGCCTCAAAACCCCCCATATCGACCCTTGTGAACCCTAATCATCCTTCCCTCTCATTTGTGAGCTAGTGTGGTATTTTGGAGCAAAAGAAGAAGAAAGTTGGAAGAAGGAAGCAAGGATTTAGCAAGCAAAGCTCTCATCTTCAGCTTGGCACTCTTCTGGACCTTTGTAAGTGTCCAAGATCCGATTTTTATTCCTCTATGTAGCTAGAAACCACCAACCTTTGGGTTGATTTTGATGGCAGAATCTTTTCTGGAGAGGTGGGGTTTCATATCTTAAGGATTTTGTGCTAATTGGTTAATCCCTTGAATCTTCAAGCCTTGTGGATGGGTTTTTGAACCCTTGGAGTAAGCCCAAAGGATAAAGTTGGAAACTTTATCCTTTTTGATAGCATTTGAGTTTAGATCTGAGTCTTGGAGTCCCTGGAATCGTAAGAACAACTGAATGTATTAAGCTCGGGCAAACATGGCGTGTTTGCAAGCCAACATGGCGTGTTGGATGGGATTTTCCCGACCATCTGCTTTTTATAGAAACTCGACGTGTTTAGTGATGCACTCTACGAGTTGGGTCAACATGGATTGTTGACCTTGACCGCTGAATTGACTTTGACCATGGTTGACCAAGTTTGACTTTTGAGGGCATTTTGGTTATTTCAGGATTTTGATGGAATTGGTCACATGTGGTTGTAGGCATTTGATTCGAGAGCTGATATTTGGAGTCAAACCTTATCAGTTCTGCACTACTTGAGAGGTGAGTCTTCCTCACTATACTTTCGGGTCGAAGGCACCAAGGCCGACCCATTGGTTTGATAACCAGATATTGTATGCTGAGTATGGAGTAGATATGTATGCTAGTTTTGATATGCTAGTTTGGAAGATCTGTAGGACTACCTGTGATACTACCTGTTATCTGAATATGATATTATCTGTTATATGTCTACATATGGGTGGGTTGGTTTGATGTTAAATTGCTTCGTGCTGTAGCCAACAAACCCTGGAGCATACCAGATATGAGATGAGGGCTAGGTAGAGCATGTCAGACTCATACTGAGGGCTCATGAGCATTTCAGATACGAGCTGAGGGTCGGGTAGGGCATACCAGACTCGTACTGAGGGTCGGTGAGTAAGCCAGACATAAGCTATAGGCCCAGGGGGTAAACCAGACTAATGTTGTGGGATCAGGCGTAATCAAGTTTGTTAGTTGTGGACCCATTGCATGCTATTATTATATTTATGTTGTTTGCTATGTATTGGTATTTTGGGGGAACTCACTAAGCATTGGGCTTATAGTTTTGGATTATGTTTCAGGTACTTCAGAGGATTACGGGAAGGCGAAGGCGTGATCGTGCACCTCCTCATATTTTATTTCACAATTTTGGGATTTCTCTAATGTTGAACTTATTTTGAAAACAATTTGTAAACAACGATGGTTTTTGAGTAAATTTAAAAGTTTAAAATTTTTGAGAATTTTATGAATGCAAGTTGGTATCAGAGACTTGGTTTGAGTGAATTGAAGGAACACTCGTGTGAATCCAATCTCAAACTAAGGAAAAAGATTTTTAAAATGATTTTCAAACGGTTTTCAAAATAATCAAGGAGGATGCGATGTGTACGATCAGTCTGAGGTAGTAAGTAGACCCCAAAAAACTTTACTGTTATTTGATATTATGATATGTTAGAACAGCATGCTAGTGATAATCTAAGGATCTTCAGGATGTTTTCATGATAGAATTTCCTGATTATATGATGCTTGATAGCCTAGGGTTCTTCTTTAATGGAATTGACATCATTACTGTAGTTTCTTAGTGTATGCATCATGGTCGTACATAACTAAGATCTTTTAGTCTGAGAATGTTTTATTTGGCCTTATTTCCTGTTCTTGTTTGATTAAGGTCTTAGGGTAGGATCATATATTCAAATGTCTATATGGTCCAACGTTATGTATGGCTAGCATACACGAGTGCTACAGGGTTGGTGGAAGTTTCATAGATGAGTGGTGTGGGGTCAGCCGACCAGTTTTGATATATATACTTATCCTCTAGGGTGCGAGGATTGAGAATTTGGGCATGCTAAAAGTATTGTTAGGGTTTTTGTGATGATCTTCTGGGACAACTACGGGTAGGTGTGGAAGGTAGTATGGGCCCATACTACTGAAAGCATAGTACCCATACACGTAACAGAGAAGTCACAACCCCTTGGGCTTGTTGGGAGTTGGTTCCCCTGTTTATGTTATGCGTATTATCTGATATCTCCCTGGTGTATTTTCAGTATGGTGACTATGAGGCTAGTTGAGATCGAATCCGGATCGGGATCAGGAGCTGGCAGGCAGATTGGGGCGGATGAGTTGGATGCCCGGATTAGGGAGATTCTTCATGACAAGGTTGTATCCATTGTCCGGGATCAGATATCGGAGATGTTTGGGTCTATTAAGACCGCGATGATGGAGTTCTTTGATGAAAAATACGCAACCATTGTTGAGACTGCTGCTGCTGCAACCTCCGCAGCCGTATCAGCTACTTGTGTTGGACCGGGTCGGGTTTTTCAGTATCGGGACTTCGACAATACGAAGCCCTCGACTTTTGATGGGGTACAGGACCCGATCATTGCCATGAGGTGGATATCGGATGTGGAGGGATGTTTCTTCACTTGTTTATGCCCTGCTCACTAGAAGGTCAGGTGCAATCTGAACCTTTTGAGGTCCGGAGTGAAGGATTGGTGGAGGCTCGCTACTAGTTCCTATTCTGCTGAGCAGAGAGCTGTTGTGACTTGGGAGTAGTTTTCTGAGATGTTCCACTCCCGATATATTCCGCTGGTGGAGCGAGAGAGGTTGGCCCAGGAGTATCTGGATTTGAGACATGGGTTCTGAGACGGTGATAAAGATCACCAAGATATTCACGGAGAGAGCTATGTTCTGTCCTGATTTTGTTACATCTGAGAAGGCTCAGATGACCCGTTACTTGAGCATGTTGAAGACGGAGATCAGGCAGTTTGTTTCTACTCAACGTTATGGTTCATTGTTGGAGTTGCAGGAGGCCGCCAAGAGGCGTGAGATTGAGCTTGACTTGCAGATGAGGGAGCAGAGGCCGGCCCCGACGCAGTCGCAGCTTGCGCCAAAGCAGTTTAAGACCGCTGATGTCAGATCTGGGGGCCGAAAGGGCCGCACTTTTGGGAATTTCGGCAAGGCGTATGAGGGTGCTTGTCGATCATCGTCTGGGTGCCACAATTGTGGCTGGCCAGGCCACATAGCGAGGGATTGCCGCTAGCAGGCTGCATCACTTAGTTCCTGGATTTGTTATCATTGCGACCAGGTTGGCCATGTGAAGGCCAACTGTCCATCGCTCACTGCCAGGCCGGTGCAGGCTCCAACGTCGGCTACTTTGAGGATCACTGACGGGAAGTCAGGGCAGGTCGGAGCCCCCGAGGGCTCAAGGTCACGCTTTCAAGCTTACTGTCGAGGAGGCCAGAGCAGCACCAGATGTTGTGACTGTTATGTTTCTATCCCTTATCTTATTGATTATATTTGTATTATGCTTATATATATGTACCTTTGGTAGGTACGTTCCTAGTGAACTTCTTGACTTCTTTAGTGTTGTTTGACTCGGGTGCGAGTTGGTTCTTTGTTTCTCGGTCTTTTAGGGGCGTTGGAGTGTCCGTTGCGAGTTTCAATCGCCAACGAACACGGGGTTTCTACTTCTTCGGTGTATCAGGGTTGTGTTCTGGAGAT